CAGAATTCTGACTTCATAGATCTAATGGCGCCGCTGAGCAAAGAACCATAGAGAGTCAGACAGGCTTCAAACCCAATAATATGACCGGAAAGGAATATATTTTTTTATCACAAAATTATCTAAAGAGTTTTCTAATAATTGAAGCTCATAGCTACAAGTTTACATTAAAATAATTATTTTATCTAGAGTTGCCTGCTTTCTCTGGTGTTTTGACAATTACTATTTCTGATGAGCTTCCAATTTTTTAGAGGTTCTTAGACCTCATACCATCACCCTAATCTTTATCGTTGGTCTGACTGAATTCCAAGCACTGGCTGTTCCGTGCAAAAATGTGAAAATTGCTTTCAGACAAAAAAGAAACATGCAGAGAAAATTGCAATATTTCTACAAACCAAAAACTGTAGGAAGTATTCTGGTTTCAGCTGGAGTTAACTCTAAGACCCATTAAGGACTAAACAGCCTGAGAGAAGACAAAACATTCAACAACAAATCATCTTGTGGTGAATGAAGATGTTTTCGAGATTGAGACGTTTCCTTCCACAAAGAAAGGTTTGTTAATTTTGGAAAGTAATTTTTAATTTTTTAATTTTAATTTTTAATTATTATTTTTCCTCTTTCTTTAGTGTATAATTCTATGTTAATTATTATGTTGAAATATTGGATTGTGTGTCTCTGCAGCTCAGAAACCTGATTAGTTTTAAGCTAACTGCATATCAAAACACCCACCTAGCTGACCATATTGGATGTGCTGGCAATGAAGTTAACTTAAAGTGTAACTTACCCCAAAATCTACCTTTTAGCAGATACATTGTATAAACTGGGTCTATGAGGGAGGTCCAGTTTATTATGGGGAGACCATCATCCTCTGATTTGAGACATTAGTAAAAGCATAAATAAGATGCAAAGAGAGGCTTCATGTTTAAACAGGACTGATGCAAAAACATGCTTCTCTTTCTTTACTCCTGATACCCTCTGGATGACATCCCGTTCTTCACCAAGGTTCCGGTCCATAACTACTACTACACAGTAGTGTCAATGTTCTGGTCCCATATGAGGTCTGGAGCTCTTCCATTTTGTGGTGCTAGTTTGCGCTTTTCTTAACTTGCAGTTTTTGCTACTTGCAGAACTTTTACTCGTTTTGTACCTGCTCTCTATTTTCTGTGATTACGGCAATCTTTCTTTGCGTGCATCTTTTTGTGTTAGTCTTTTTTCGTACTTTTGCCAATTTTTGGGTTTCCAATCCTTTCAATTGCTGTGAAATCATGTTGTTACTTGGCATTTGTGTCTCTCGACCACTGTACTTTAGACCTTGTAATTCAGTACTGTGCTGGACAAGGAAGACATGAAAGGTAAATGACAAGAAAGGGTCAAATTATTACAAATAGAAATGATTAACAAGTAGGCTGACCTGCTGTCAGGTCAGCCTACAATTACATCTCAGAGCTCTGAAACCAGGGTCATATTCATCCATCTACAAATGCTTTGCCCACATTCTTCACCACTTCACTGACTGGGCTACTTGGGGACCGTTTTTTTACTGTGGGAAGTTAGAGTAAAACATTCCTGCCACTGAATTGTTTAACTGGAGATTAAATTGTGTGCAATGGTATCAAATGGTTGTTTCTCTTTTGATCCTAAACAAAAGCAAGTTAGATCTACAACAATTATGGTCAGTTTGAGAAAATCCAAAAAGGATCCAAGCAGGGTTGTTGTGGTAAAAACTCACTTGAGAAGCTCACAGCGCATGTTGTCATTCTGGCGGTAAACCATCTTCTTGAGAATCCTGCTGAGGTGCAAAGGGAACCAACAGAGGGCAAAGATCAGGACAAGGCAGAAGACGGCTTTGGCCACCTCCCTTCTCTGAAAACACAAACAGAAAACAGAAGGTTCAACAATGAAGATGGTGAAGCGTTCTTATTTATAAGTAGACGAATTTTAGCGTCACCCCACCTGTTTGAGGTGTTCACTGAGTGCGATACGAAGGCTGCCGTTGCGGTGGTTTAGCATCTCGCAGGTCATCAGAGTGTAGAAGATGGCGGTGCAGGTAAGTGGGACACAAAAGTAAAAACCAAACAGCCACCAGTCCTTTGCATCTCTGTAGAACTAGAGGGAGAATACACATGTATGGTCTCTGTATTTCAAGGTTTATAAATGTTTGTTCTCCTAGGAAATCCAAAGTATTCTTTTCTGAACTCAACATTCTTCATGAGTCATTTATGGTTTATATCTGAAACTGTATTTACATGTCCCTAAAAGTCAGAACTGAAAGCTATTCAAGGTGACAGCAGAAGTCTCATGTTTGTAATGAAACCTCCACAAACACCATCTGGCTGCTGTTGTCTCGGTGTGCCAGTGAAGTTTATGGGAAATCTGCTCATAAGTAGAAAATCAAGCTGGTTCCAATTATGCAGTGTAAAATAAAAGCTTGTGGTTGTAAAAAGAAAAACAAAAATGTAAGAAAAATATGCTATTCCAAAACCCAGATATCCTGGTGAGGAATTTTTCACACGATCTGCCCTCTACTTTACAGAGCCACTTATAAATCCATCATTTGGCCTGAATTTTTCCATCCCATAAATCCTGTAGGGGAATAAACACCAAAACAAAGTTAAAATGTTGAATCAAACTGGAAAACCGGGGAGCAGGATTCTTAAAGGGGAGGACTGCATCGATGTCCTGCAGAGGTTATATCAGGTTTGTCTGTGCGGACGAGCACATGTGGCTACTTGAGGGCCAAAGGTCGTAATTGGACTTGGCCTGCAATCAATTATCTGCATCAGGCATGCGGAGAGGCCACAGCTCCGAGGAGGGAGAGCAGGAAAGAAAAACCTCTGCATTCAAACCTGAGGAGAAACTTTAGTCCAAAAAATGGACTGAGGTGGCAAAATGTCTGATGAACGTATGCATGTTTCCGCTCTCTTACATTCCTGTTCCTTCATTTACCACGGATCATGATCTTTAATGCAAAGGCACAAAATGTTGGACTCAGTCTCTTTAGTGCTTTATTGATGCACTTAAAAAATGCTTCAGAAAATAATGGAGATGCTTGACAGTCTTCCATTAAAAACACTCTCCTGTTCCGAAGGAATAATTCATGTCTTTAAGATGATGAAGGCGTTCAGCTAAATGTTAGCTTTTAAGTTCAAGTACTTTTAATGCAGGAATGGCTTCTCTGGCTCATTAGCTCAGTCATGTTTCGCTTCCATTTCCAGAGTCAACAACAATGTTTACTCCTACAGGGTTGTTTTTAATACCATCTGTGGTCAAAGACTAAAGGGGGAAAAAAAGTTTGAGAATATTCTGGTATTTGCTTTCACTCTTGTGTCTATTCTCTTTTACAGTACATTCTCCCAGTATCAGATCCTGAAGAATGTCTCCTATTGTCCGTAAGCTGATGTTACGGTCACTGACCTCTAGGGGCTCTCTTCATGACGGAGCTCTCTTTGTGTTTCAGGTCTACCTGGCTGCTACAGATTCAATGTGTTCAAGCTTTTCAGCCACCCCGTAAAGAGCTTTAAACCTGAGATGTCAGGCCTCCTCTTTCTCCTATTCCCTGGGCCTGATCTTGATCATGTTGAATAATCGGCTAACTAAAGCATTTTCTGTTCACAGTGGAAGCTGGTAGCGGTTCTCTGCCATCTTTGTTTAACTGTTTTCTCCTTGTTTCGTGGTTAGCCAGGGAGTTCAGTAGGGATGGTGAGATGAAGCTCATGAGGCATTGAACCGTTTGGCCAAATTGCTTCAACGACCCCCACAGTTCATGAAGCTCCATGTGAACATGTGCCCACCTACTGGAGAAGTGCATAAACGATTGTTTTTCTTTTTTTTCCCCTTTTAAGTTCCTGTGAAACTGTTAACGGTTAGTGTGTATAATAAAATCTTTAAGTTTTTTTTAAGTGTAAAATTTCTTGGAAAAATCATTTAAGGTGTAGCCTACTGTTTTACTGCCATTTTACAGAATTAAACTCAAGCAGACAATAAAAGTCTGCAAACTGGGCAATGATGAGCAAAATTAAAGGCGTTAGTAATTTTTATTCAAACATGATAGTTTTTCCACGGTTTTTGTTTTTAATCGAGTTGGAAGTTATGTTCAACCAATCTTTTGGCTAAACCGACCTAATTTAGCAGCATTTTTACACAATCTATATTTTTCATTAGGCAAAACAATTAGAATAATCACAACTTTCATAAGTCAAAGGCAGGGCTTGTATGGAGCGATATGACGCCAATAATATTGTCAACCAGTTAAAGGAGAAAACACTACTTAACACTAACCTTACAATTGTATTCAGCTGCTTGCTCTGATTTTGATCATTACATTGTTTGTTCTAACTAAAATAGTTTTAACTAGATTGGTTGTTTTTTCCAACCAATCTATTCTTATAATCTATCCAAACTCTATCCAGCTGGCAGCAGCTCTCCTACAAACTCCCACATCTTGGTTGTAACAGCTGACGATACTCAACTTTAAAGTTCTTTTAAGCTGGTTTAGGTGATTTTCAAACACACAGCACATCCCACATCCTACAAGCCGATTTCGACACTCTAAACGTGCATCGAGCAAAGAGTCAACAGATCATCTCTGTGTTAAGTGGCAGATGCAATAGAGAGAGTTGCTTTAGTTTATATGCCAGGATGAGAGGAAAGAAAGGTTATCTTTGTATTTGGTTCACCAGGATTATGATCCAACCTTTGAATATTCTGTAGCTGTTTTGAGCAGCATACCCAGCAAACTGTCGCACTGGGAATCCCTTGTGACAGTTCTCTAAGCTGGCCAGTCAGCTGGGGATTTCCTGGCAGTAGCCAGATTGATATGTGTAGAACTGAGTTGACTTCTGAGTTATCAATCTGGGATGGCTGTCCTTCAGTCTGTCTGTGAAAAGGAGGGATGTTAAGTTAAATACTTCGAGCTGATTGGGTGACGTGACAGCTAGTACCCATCTTCCATAATACGCTTTCATCCAATTATAGCAGTGGATCATCTGCAGCTTCTTGAGTGTTTTCACAACTAGCAGATGAAGCTGATAAGTCAAAACTTTTTCCAAATCCTGTCAGAAGAAAAGCACAGACATCTTTCCCATCTAAAATGCAGTAGTGCTTCTTTTTTTGCTATTCTAGCTAAAATTGAGTTGTTTGCGGTATGTACAGCTGCGTCCTCCAGCGTAGCCATGTTTGTTATGCCCCGCCAAGGTCTTTTCTACATGTCCCGCCCCAAAAAATACTGTTGGCATTTCATTGGTTCAGCCCGATGGTCGTTACGAGACGGACATATTAGTCATATTAGTGGATTTGTTGTGAGACTCAGATCTCGTGACAATCCAGGTTGCAGTGCAAGGTTAGTTTGTAGCAGCTGGAAGTGAATATAAAGGGTTTTTAAGGTAGTAAAAAAAAACTGCCAGTAGAATATAAAATAAAATATTTTTGGCTGGCATGTTTTGACATTTTAAACCACAATCCAGTAACAAAATATTTTAGAAGAGCAACCAGAGCATTCTCACTTTTTTTTGTTTAAAAAATAAGCAAGCAAACAAAAAAAATTCCTGGCTTTCCATGTAAATCTAGTCTGACCCCTTTAGGCAGTCATGCTACTTTGAATTGTTTTAAGGAGGATAAATCACGGTTTGGATGCTCTGGCTCCCAACCAGCTCCCAGATCATCTTCTGGGATTTGTTGACACACAGTGCAGGGCTGCAAAAGTTCAACATTTCAAACTCCAGCATCTGGCTTGAATGCGCTTGGCTTGGTGGACACCACAAACAGCACAACATCAGGCAAAGCACAGACTCGATCCTTCTGATGATGCCACACAGGGCAGGAGTTTCTCTGCTCTGGAGGAGCTCCTGATATCAGAGGCTGTTGAAGGGGAAGATCTGGCAAACTGCCAGGTCTATCTTACCACGTGAACCAGCTTTTAGAATAAATAATCTGACCTCAGCCACCGTCTGACAGGAATCAACCAACTATTTACAACTACATGGGACCAAATCAGCAACCCTGATTACATCACCTTAAAACTAAATTTCTGTTATGAGGCCACATGTTTTTGCTCAGGCTGCTTAGTGGCACTGTTGTGTGCACTGCTGCCTTGCAGCAAGAGAGTTCTAGGTTCCATTCCCGGCCAGGGGTCTTTCTGCATGGAGTTTGCATGTTCTTCCTGAGCATGCATGGGTTCTCTCCCACAGTCCAAAAACATGACTGTTAGGTTGAATGGCTTCTCTAAACTCTCCTTAGGTGTGAGTGTGAGAAGGGTTGTTTGTCTCTGTGTTGCCCTGTGATGAACTGGTGATCTGTCCAGGGTGTACCCCGCCTCTTGCCCTTGCACAGCTGGAGATGAGCACCAGCACCCCTGGTGACCCTGCTTGGGATAAGCGTGACAGAACACGGATGGATTTTTTGCTCTGGGAGCCTTTTTCCAAACCTCTCTACCAAACTTTGACCTCAATTTTTGATAGTTTCTTATCCTTTGAGCGTCATTCTAAAAAAACTGTTTTTTATCATATGAGAAACACTTCAACGCTCAGATCCTGGGTGTCGTATCATGGATTACAAACAGGTGTATTTGCTTTTCTCTCGTCTCAGTTGGACTATTGTGAAGGTCTTTTTATTTGTGTCAGTAAATCAGCTTTAAATCAGCCGTCAGACAGTTCAGAGCGTAGCAGAAAGACTCCTCATAAGGACCAATGGAAGAGAGCTCACTGACTCTGTTCTGGCCTCTCTGCTCTGACTCCCTGTACAAAATACCATACATCTTAAAGTGCCGATCCTAATGATGCCATACTGCTCCCTTCCAACTCTAAGACCTGCTGATCAGAGGTTGCTGGGATTGTCACAGAATTACTTTAAACTCATGCGTTTCCAGACGGTGGCCCCAAAACCCTCTGGAACTCACTTTATTGATTTTTAAGAGTCAATGTTTGAATAAACAGGCTTTAAAATAGCCTGTAAACATATTTATATTGTGCCTATATTGTTTTTTATTTCTGTAAAACAGTTTATATTTCTGATATCTGTGAAAGGAGTTATATGATTAGATTTAACTAGAGATGCCTAAGTTTGAGTCTCCTTCTATCTTTACCAGAGGCCATTTATTTCAGTCTTTAAACATATAGTGAGGCTGAAACGTGGTTTAGTGCAGCCTGCACTTGAGGCTCTTGCAGAAGGTTTTTTTTTCCTTCTTTACATTTACGCTAAAGGAGCTGAGACCTAAAGTGGTCTATAAAAAAACTATTTAAAGGGTCTATTTTGGTTTCCTCCTGAGAGCAGACACTCAGCTGCCTCAGTGGACCCATCTGTGACTTAAGGTTGTTTTAACGCTTCAAACCGTTTCTAGTAAATGTGTTTCATTAAAGCAGAGAACTGTGCCCAGCAGGATGTAAATTATAGTTTGTCTCTAAATGGGCCGTCCTACTCAGAGAAAAACTTTAAATTAAACTTATCATTAACCTGAGCCCAGAAACTGGATTATTCTTTCTACACGAATAGTTCAATTCATTATCTCTGATTTGGACTTTTTCAGTGATATACTGATTTCACTTTTATGCTTAACATTTTTTTTTTTATCACAATAGAGATACTGATAATGACATTCTGCTTCATTCTATCTGTATTCTCCCATTCCACAGTATTTGTTAGTTCAACCTTTAACTTTATGCTCTCTCTGCTTTTTCTCATAGTAGCTTCATCTGCTCTGTTCATGCTGGCTGTGACTCCATCCTGAGAGAAGTATCAGCTGTGATTCTGCCACCAACACTTTGATTGTCAATCATAGAGTTGGGCCGGTTTTTCAGTGTATTGTCCTGTCTCTCTCCTTGCCCCAACTATGGGCCCAGCTTTTACTGTGACTAACTGGATGTGCTCCAGCCCACTCTAGAAACAATACTGGTGTTTCTCTGTAAAGTGCCTTAAGATGATAATTTCTTATTTAAGTCATTGATTAACAAACAAATGTTTTATATTTCATAAATGAACTTCTAGTTTTATTTAAAGTATGAGGAAAGTTAAATTCTTCGACCTGTTAATTGATAAAAAGTCATAGTTATTAACTAGTAACAAGCTACTTAGATCGAGCAGTAACCCGTTTTTGAGAAGAAACCAGTAACTTTAACTATTTACATTCTTAAAGCAATATTCCCAACACTACAAAAGGTGCCACTTTTAAGTTTCTTTGGATTTTTTCCTCCGTTCTTTTTTCCCCACTTATCTATCAACATAGAGGGTCTGTGCTCAGCTATAAAAATCTACATTTAGTTTGAAAAACTGATTATATTTAGTTAGTTAGGGGTAGAAAGTGTCTCCATCATTTAGAGAAGCCTTTCCTCATAATTTGAATATGCCATATCATTGTATAGCACCGTTATCTCTAGCAGAAGTGTTGAAGTCCCCACTGGATCCTGCTCAAGGGGTTAAAGGACTTTTTCAACTTTGATTATTTTCATTCTTTTTTTCCTTTTTAGTATTTGGAGATAGCAGAAACAATCCCATACAATATAAAAATAAAACATATGATCTACTATTTGCAGTTTTGGCCAGTTGAAGTTCTGCTTTATACCTGATGAACTCCAACTGGACTGAAAACTGGACGGAGGGAAGAAATGGGAGAATTTACCACCATGAAGCTGTTGGTCGGGTTGAGCATGCAGGTGCGCATGGTGTTGTTACTGTAGTTGAAGGAGACCATGTCGAAGCAGACAGCCTCCGGCACTGCCAGGATCAGAGACAGCACCCAGATGGACACGATCTCGATGACGGTGAGCAAAGGGATGCCCACCCCCTGCACTCGGCTCCAGGAAGCCACAGCTCGGTACCTGTGAGGCAAACGGATCCACAGATACCAGTCAGCATTACCTGATTTTATCTATTCAGATGGCACACATGTATATTTAAATCTGAAATATGTGAATATGCCTGAAAGAATCCACATAACTTTGATTTCTATGTCAATTTTATCTGTAAGACCCCACTTTTCACATCTGTGCTTTGCTCTTGCTTTGTTTTCAGTCATGGATTCATCATTAAACAGCAGTGACAAAGAGACTCTCTGCCTGCCAGCGTCCCAAACACCACAAACTGCTCAGTCAGCAGACGATCAGCAGAATGGGAAGAATTCATGAGGAGAGATGATCAATTGTTTATCTTCAATATCTAATATTTATATTTTCGTGAAGCCGCCAAACTGGCTGGCCCATGTTGGCAGATCTGTGCATGTTGGCTTCTGTTTGCTGCGCACTAAATAAATAGTTTGCTTGTTTGTTTCATTAATGGAAAACAACTTGTCGAAATGTTTTAGTAAAACCGAGCATCAAGATTTTATGGCAAAACAATATATTTTTCATGATACATTTGAATTTCCCTGTTGAACAACATGGCGGCATCTATATTTTACCAAGAGGTCTTGTATCCACCTTTCCCTATTGTTGTAGCAGTAAAATGATGCAGAGGGACTGAAATAGCTCCTAATATGTATTCAAACAAATTTGCTTCATATTTCCAGGAACAAAGAGAGAAGATGTGCTTCTGAAGCAACCAAACAGCTTATTGGTCTTTCTCATAATGGAGGTCATTAAAACCATCTGGCTTGTTGAACCTTGGAGTCTTTTTAAAGATGGGTGGTGCATTAAGTGACATGACGATGAACTTCACCTCTTCTGGGCCATCATTTATTCATTGCAGTGTTCTTTTAAGGCACCATTTAACTCATTAGCATCCTAGCTAACCGTTCCGGTGACTATACACATGGACAAACTACACAATGGCCTCCATAACCCTTAGCCCTGTTTGTATAGATGTCTGAAAAATGTTTTATCACAATTAAGGCAGGGAAATCGGACCTGTAAATTCAGATATATCTATCTAAAAAAACTGATTTCCCCAAAGTTCAACAAAAAGTTATTGAGAGATTGTAAATTTAAATACACTTTTGGTATTAAAGTGATCCACTATTAGTTGTAACAGACTACATTTGAGAGTGATTTTCTTAGATTTAAATATAATAGTAAAAATACTGTAATTTTTTTTTTCTCAAGAACAAAAAAATAAAAAATACATATAATGTCACATGGACTTCTCCATGCTGTTTACACTGCAAGCCCTTCTGGTTAAATGGCATACGCTAGGTCCTGTAGCGCTAGCTCCGTCCAGCCAAAACAAAATTCAAATGTAATACGATAAAAATCTTCTCTGCTAATGTCAGCCTTCCTGTGTTTACTCTGTAGGTTTCAGTCCAGTAAGGCAAGGCAAGGCAAGGCAAATTTATTTGTATAGCACAATTCAGTAAAAAGACAATGCGAAATGCTTTACATGATTAAAATATAGAAAAATAAAACACAATCAGAGCAAGTAGAATAAAAAAATAAAAGAATAAATAATAAAAAAGATGCAGAAACTAGAAAGAACATTAAAAGCAGTTGGACTAAAGAAAAAAAAATTAACTAATGATGTTTCGGTTGAACTTTTTAACTAGAAAAGTCGAAGGCAATCGTAAACAAATGTGTTTTTAGTCTTGATTTAAAGGAACTCAGGCTTCAGACTCAGTAAGACCAAGCATGCATTGCACAGCTATAAAATGGCAACCTCCAGGGGTGATATATATAACTAAGGATTTATATTTTGTATCAAGTGTATCACAAACGTGCAATTACTCCTGAGTTGTTTTAATAACAAAGGAAATAAACTTACTTAAAACATGTTTTATTTTTATATTTATATCCTCATACGGTAAAATCCTAATACATAATTTTAAAAACAAAAAGGAGGCCATTTAAGAGATTAAAAAGAGTTGTTGACATCTTGTTCTTAGGGGTCATAACTGACAGCAGGCTAACATGAAGCGAGCATGTTAACTACAATTTTCAGAAACACCTTCTATTTAGTGTAAAAAACCAAAGACTTGCTTAGTTATAATTCATTATCTATAATTCCTGTACTCTGATACTTCCAGATATGACTTAATGTACAATTTATGGGAGCCTTACACCTAATTATTAAGTCAGGCTGTGTGTATGAGAATGTGTTTTAAGACAGAGAAACAGCGCTACGGCTAAAGGAGAGGATGATGGCAGAGGAGAAAATTGTTGCTCGAGTTAATGCGTCTTACGTTTATATGAAGTGGGCTATGGCAGGCCACTTTTACATTTAATAAAAGCACTCTCCTCTCTGTTGTTCCATTGGTAGATCACTGAAATAAGATTCTTCCTGATCAAAATCACACTCCTAGTCTGAACTCTAATAATATAGTTTCTAAATTAAATTGTTTTTAGCAGAAACCTAATTTTGAAAAGTGCAAAAAAAGAAATTATGCCCGTAATAATAAATTTTTTTTATATATCTAGAAATGTTTACACATTTTAAGTTGCCAATCTGACATTCATCAGCTTGACTGAATATGTATCTATCGTTTCTGAAAAACATGTTTTTTTATAGTTAAAATAATACAAATGCTGACCGGAAATATTAGGAATATGGAGATCTGAAATTAATTTATAGAAATCTAAAATGTTTTTTCTAGATGTGGAGAATGTTATTTTGTTTCAAAAGGTGATTTAGACATAGAAAGAAGTTTTTTTTTCAAATATCAGGCATACATATTCAGTAAAATTAATACATATTAAAATGTTTGGCCAGCCTGTTGTGACCGAGATGATATTAAAGAATCCTTTCTTGAATGGTAGTAGGTCAATGTATCGATTTAGGTGAAATCTTCCGGCAGCAGGTGAAAATGAAGAATAAAAACATTGTTCCTATATATAGAACCTGTGGATCATCTCATGGGTCCCTCCTCATGTTGATCTTCTTTAACGTAGTAAATACTAAGTGGCTGTTTGCAGCCGTGCTTCAGATGTTATCCCAATAAATGGTCGATATTAGCAGCTATCAGGCCCATAGAATGGCTGCAGATTGTGCCAGCAGGCCCATTAGGTTGTTATCATCCAGTAAATCCTAATCCTAACCCTAGAATAATTCCTTTTTCCCAGCAGAATTAAT